GAATGAAGCACTGCATGTTTACAGCCTGCATGAACACTGGGAGAAGGAAACTTTAGAGGAAAAGTGAAGAAATACAAGAAAGGCATGAAGAAGAAAAGGAGAAATTACACTTTCCTGAAGAGTTCAGGAAAGCAGACAGACTTTCAAGACCTACCTGACTGTGGCTGGTCTGGAAGTTCTGCGAAGGTCTGAGATAGTTACAGGCAGGAAAAAATTCTCTACCTCATTAACACACCAGGTAGTCTGCCCACCTATTTAGCATAACTTAAGGTGACCCTGCCCTCCTGGGAGTGGTTCTATCACCAGGTAATTGACCAGTGAGACTGGAAAAGTGGGTCCTTCAACAAACAGACTAGACATTTTCATTCTGGACCAGTTACATTTATGGGGCTTTTTGCTACTCTAATACTGTGCTCCTCACTCTCCCTTTTGACTTTTTTAAAATTAATTAGGATTTAAAATTATTCTGTTTGCCCAATTGAATTAGTCTGTTCTTTATATAAGCTGCTTTGATAATTTCTACTGTATTTTAGAAATTTTAATGTGCACCTTTGACTTTTTTTTAAATAAAATTTGTGTGTGTGTTTGTGTGTGCATGTGTATGTGTGTGTGTGTGTGTGTGTGTGTGTGTGTGAATGTGAGCTGCATGTGTAGAGGTCAGAGGACACTTTTCCAGAGTCTTCTCTCCCATCATGTGTGCTCATGGGATTGAACTCAGGTAGTCAGACTTGGTGCCAAGTGCCTTTATCTGCTGAGCCATCTTACCAGCCCTAAATTTATGAAAGAAATTTACACTTTAAATATTTCCCAGAAAGTGAAGAAGCTTACAAAACTATATTTTATCTACATTTAATTTTCCTATATGTTTGTTTCTCTTAGCACTGCCAGGTGCTCTAACTTTTAAAATATGTTCTTATTACATAGCATAAATTATTACTTTCACATCATCTTTGTTCATTCAGAGTTGTAAGCTTAGCTTCCCACTTTTATTCTTTCTTGCATTTCTGTGCTGTTTGCATTTGGGGTGCATTTTTCTTCTGCTTAAAGATCTACCTGTGGGGCTGGAGAGATGGCTCAGTGGTTAAAAACACTGGTTGTTCTTGCAAAAGAGCCAAGTTCGAATCCCAGTACCTACATGGAAGCCAACAACTCTGTAACTCCACTCTCAGGGTGCAGAACCCTGAGACCCTCTTCATTCTCCTGCTATCCCTCAATCCCTCCAGACCCCCACTAATTGCTCTTTTAGCTTCTGTAAAATGCTTGGCTGCTGCATTAGACATGCCTAGACATACCCTGGCATGCCCTGACCCCCGCCTGCTATTCCCCACCCCCCTTCCAGGAAAGTATAGATTAAGCAAGCCCGGGCATGAAAACTGCCCTATAAGGTAAAAACGGAGACTCCTGGCCCCACAGGTAACAGTCAGCACATTCCACAGCCCTGAGAATAGCACCTACAAATAAGAAACTTCCAGGGCTGCATCTCATACATGCAATCAGTTTAAAATTATGTTGGCGCGTGCAGGCTCCTTGAACCAACCAAAACGTATCTTCGGTCTCTCCCCCCTTGTCTAAAACCTATAAAAGGCTCCACTCTCCCCTACTCTGGGCTCTCAGCACAGATCCATTGAGTTGGTGAGGTCTGAGAGCCCAAACTTAAGCCCGAATAAACCGTAAACCTTTGCTTTTGCATTTTTGTGTGTTGGGTCCTCGGTGGTCTTTTTGGGGTCCAGTGGATGAGGTACAACATTTGGGGGCTCATCCAGGATCCCCCCAGAGACCTCTGAGAGGTGCTGACCACAAAAGGTTTGTGATCAACCAGCCAGGTAAGTTTTTGTAAAACTGTGTTTGTCTGCCTGTCTTTTTGTTCACCTGTCTTTTCTATATCTTCCCTTTGGTTGCGGCCATCTGATCTCAGTTTTTTGTTGCTGGAATGCTAGCAAGGCAACCTGGAGGATTCGGGAGATGTCCCCATCCTCGCAGGAGTGGGTGTTCCCCACCGGACACCCCACCAGGACATTAGTCCATCTGAAACCTCAGAGGACCTCGTGACCCTGTTAGGACACGCGAGTCCTATCCATATGGTCATTGGCACAATCGAGCCAGGGAATCCACACATCCGAGAGTCCAGACCATCTGAAAGCCACGGTAGTTTAATTTGGGCCCTCTGTCTATCTGTGTCGTTCTTGTGTCTTGTGATCTTTGTTCTAATTTCTTTGTTGATGAAACAGATGGGACTGATAAATACTATGGGCAACACCCCATCTTCCCCTCTAGGTCTTACACTAGTCCACTGGGGGGACATTAAGACGATTGCCCATAACAATAGTGTAGATGTAAAGAAAAAGAAATGGACAACTTTATGTTCGGTTGATTGGCCCTCCTTCAATGTTGGATGGCCCCCTGAAGGGACTTTTAACCTGAGTTTGATTTCCAGGGTAGAGGACCACACCTTCTGCCCACGGACAGGCCACCAGGACCAGATCCCATACATCGTGACCTGGCGAGGCCTCATCGAATGACCTGATGGCCCCCGAGGTTGGGTCAAGTCCTTCCTTCCCCTGATTAATCCAACTGCTTCCCCTCAACCTCTGCAGGTCCTCCCTCTCAGACCAAAGGTGGAAGAGAAACCCATTCTCCAGGAAGGCACAGAGGAGAACATCTTTCCCCCACCCTACTCCTCTCAGACGGGCACTCCGCCAACAGCGCCACAAGCCTCCTAACCCTGAGGCGCC